GCCTCGTGGAATTGGAAATTCAGAATTCTCTGTAATTTGTTTTTTTTTTTTTTTTTGTAGTCGTACACTTCCTCGAGTCATGTTATAGAAGAAGACATCTTGCAAAGGGATTATCCTTATGGACATCCGTCTGCTGTGCTCTATTGTTTCTCCGGTTCAACCTTGCCCATTTCCGCATCGGTACTTCTCAAACTAATCCTGTTGGATCTGCGCTTAAAGGCACTCCTGGACAGATCATTGTAAGATAACCTTTTTATTCTTTCTTCCATTTTCTTTTCAAGGGAAACCCCCCTGCATTCAGTTATGGAACATAGTATTCCATTACGTCTACATCGGTTATCTCTTCTTATTCTTTCAGCCGATTTCAGCATAGGTAAATTTGTATATATAAAATGTTTTGTATGCACATATGTTCACTCACCTCGTTATGGCCAAATATTTTCTAATTTACACAAATGTTGTTATTTGGGGTGGAAGTACCACCCCCACAAAATTGCTGATTTTAAAAATATTACAATTTGATAACAGGGCTATACTTTGACAGGTTTTTTTATAGAACGTGCACAAACGCACACATGTGTTTATACACATATTATAAAATATTGATAAGATTATGCCATATACAAACAGACATACATTATAATAATATTTGTATTATTTTCCGCCAAAAAAAAGAAATAACAAATTATTTCTTAGAACTCAATCATATCATTAATTTACGATATTGTCTGGATACATTAACACATCTAATAAGTTTTTTACTATATTTCCAAAACTTAATACTTATATTAGTACCATTCAAGTCATCGTTTTATATAATTTTTTTTTACCCTTATCTATGAAGATCTATTAAATTATGCGGACTCATTTTAATCCACATTCAATTTACGAAATGACCCCTCCATTCCAAACAAATTATCAAAATCTACAGGTTTACCGGGTCTTAATTGTTCATCGGTACCATATTTAGCATCCTCCGCAAAGTAATCACTATATTCCAAGAATTTCTTATGCCATGTATCGATTATTTCCGGTATAGAACCATTTTCACCACCATATTCTTTGGGTAAATATTTCAAGGGGATTTTTTCGTACATTTTTTCAATATTGGAACCATAGATGACCATCTGAAACAATTAAGAATCAAATTATAAAATCCCTATAACTTAATTCATCCATTAATCAAACTTACCCTATCCACTTGTTTCTTGGACATCATTGGCTTTAGCATATTGAAAACAGATTCAAATATCGATGGAGCATTAATGGCATGTGAGGCCTTTGGTCTCAAGGGCATAGCCTCCTCTGAATATACAGTCATTTTCTTCATTAAACTTGGTGTAACCTGAAAGAAATGCTCCTTGGTCCAACCCTTCAGATCCATAATGTGTACAAAACCATTAACAATGGCATAATCATCTTCCCACATTAGAATTTCATTACAGGCCTGGGCAACACGCATAATATCGGCGAAGTTATATTTCGAGGGGTCATAGCAGCCATTGCGTATCAATAAAATTCTTGGTCCTGTTTCATTTAATGGGGTGGGCAGTACCAAGCCAATGCTGTAAATATAAAAAAATTAAAACAATTAACGAGAAATTACTTCAATAAAATCTAATAAATCTTACCCCAATTTAATTATTTCCTCAATGTGTGGATTCTTGACATCCCGCAAAGAAAACAGTTCGGGAAACTTCGATCTCAGCATATAATAACGATCAATTTTCGATTTGGCCTTTTCCAAACTAAATTTGCAGCCACGCAAAAATGCCAAAAGGAATTGATCATCGGTACGTGCCCTTAAATGAGGCTGTTGACTAATCCATGCCTTCAGAGCTTCAATATCTGCTGCGACACGTTCGGGATCTTCATGTAGTTCATCAATGGCAATTTTTTGCAAAACTGGTGGCAATGGTCGTACCATGATTCGTTCTCTTTTCTTTAATATAATTTTGTTGTGACCCGTGGCTCTTGAGTGGCAATACTATTCGTACATGTTTAAAATATGTATACCTATAGTCGTCCATAGTTAAAGGACGCTAAAGTTAGTAGCCAATCAAACATAAAGTTGGATATCAATTGATGATAAGGTATTGTGCGATTATATTTCACAAATTTCAAATACTAAAATTTTGAGATAAGATTTGCAAGAACAAATTTGCTGTGTCAGAAGGTGTTTAGGTGGGTATAGAAATACCCTACAACTGTGTATGTAAAAAAAAAACTAAAAACTGTGTATGTAAAAAATATCGATATCGGATCGAATGGTATACTTTCCGAAAAACGTCTTTATAAACATCAGTTTAACACTAAATTTAATTGACCACAATCTATGCAATCTCCAGGACAGCCACGCAGGAGATGGTCGATTGTCTCCGTATCCTCGCCATTACAGAGTCTGCAGTAATCAGTAACATTATTGGTCGCATTTAATCGTAAAGGCTCTAATGCTGTCCAGTAATAACTCCCGTCATTACTCTAATTTCAGTTTTGCTCAGGTCCAACAGTGAATTTGTTCTTTTGGCTGACAGATTCGACCAGATAGATCTTTACTCATTACACCTAGGTTCGTTGTATCAAAATTCATTGGCTTTTTCGTCAAAGAACGTCTCAAAATTCCGATGGCAGATGGGTGGTTTGATTGTGTCAGCGATTGCAAGATCTGTAAATTGAGATCCTCCTCTGGTTTTTCATTACCCATGAAGTCAGTGCCCAAGTGTCCAGCACAGTATCTTGAAAAGTTTTATGTGAGTACCTGCCTATTGGCCTACCTCACAGTGGCTGAGCCACAGGCGGAAAAGCACCCACCAGCGCACCAGCACGGAAGTACTGTACCAATTGGAGAGCATGCAGAAGGCACACTCTCCCCCTTGGTGAGTTGCGAAACCACAACCCCCGCGAAGCTCCCCAGGTGGCCACACCAACTGTCAGGCTGGATCAACAGATCCAGGGGCACCTGACACCCGCTGTACGGAAAACCTCCGCTCAGGCTCGCGACCGAAGTCTCTCCCAGTTTGACGCACGTCCGGGCTGGTATCCCAAAGCAAAAAAAAACGGCGATAACCGCAAGTGGCAAGGGAAAACCTAGCCACAAGCAGTGACAAATACACAAATCACAAACAATTAATATGCTGTCCCCACGGACTGCACAAAGGGCCCAAAGGACCGCGGCATCGGACATCACAACACAAACAATGACAAAACTGCTCTCACGGACAGCCTACACTACATCCACAGGAGGAGTGAAGCACATAAGTGGAAACCACGAACCACCCACGATGCACAGACAACCACAGGTAGCACATAAACCACCTACAACCGCCAACGACCGATGAAAACCGCACCAAGACCAGCACAGCCACCCGTTGCACCTACCCACCACCACCCGGTGCAACCGACCAAACCCAACTGCAAGGGGGCTATGTACGAGGACCACCTCCGCTAACTACTGTCCTTCTCCTAAATGCTTCACGAGCAAAACTACTTAAACAACTAAAGGTCCGATCGTCTTCAAGTGCCCTACTGAAATCCCACCCCGTCCCTCCATTCGATATACCCATACTTGCTAAATCTCTAATGTCATCATAGTAACAGCATTCCGTCAGTATATGCTTCCAGTCCTCGGTCATCCCGCACCCACATAAATCCGTCTGGGACAGGCCTCTTTTATGCAGAAAAGCATTGAGAGAGCCATGCCCCGTCAGTAAGAAACCAGTACTTAAGCCGAAGCGAAAGTCTGGCCGGTCCACTACGAACGTTGCGTCACGAATAAATTCGTACGTCACCCTCCATTTGTCACTGTTCGGCAACTTTGTCTCGAGCACAGTCGATAGCTGAGAGTTAGTGTTTCCAAATCTGCTCAACACTCGATGACATCAGACTTGTTATACAGGATTTTATGGCTTTAAGAGCCGCTTGACTATACACAAAGATAGTCACCAGTTCAACGATCTCTGCATCCAGACTTCTTATCAATTCTGCTGCCTTCCAAATCGCGAAGATTTCATCTTGGAAAACACTCAAGGTCTAACCTTTCACAGTAGACGCCGGCTCCTGTACCTTTTTCAATCTTGAATACGTCTGTATAAAAATCCAAACCATCTAGAGAAGGCTTACTACGGTTCCAGTCATCTCTACGGGGGATATCGAAATCTACATCGTCAAATCTAAGTCGCTTAGTTTTCCACGTTGGTTCAATGTGATACCTTGCTCATTCGGGATACATTTATTCATGCAGCCTTAGGGCACTATTGATACCCACAGCGACTTTATTCATACCTAATGCATTCGATTATCTGCTGATGTCCTCAAAATGTACAGTACGTATATTTTCCATTGTTTAACTTTTTTTCGAAGCGTGTAAAAGCAAAAACGGTGGCTAAAAATTACTTCAATAAATATTCTAATATTCATAACAAAAGCAACTGTATCCATACATAATGCATCCTATTACCTATTGATGTTCTCAAAATGTTCAGTACAGATATTTTTCATTCTTTCACTTTCTACTAAGTGTGGAGTATAAGGAATTCTGTAAAAGCAAAACCAGTGGGGAGAAATCAATATTTTAAAATGCATGTCAAAAGCGACGTTATCCATACCCAATGCATCCGATTATCTATTGTCCTCAAAATGTACATTAGATTTTTATTACAAAACATTCACATTTTTGGATTGGTGTATCTTCTGAAGGTCACTTTGGTATGTATCATATATCCCCTTAAACCGAATACACCACCTTTTCCCCATACCAACTACAATAAAAACGTGCAACAAACTTTAGTCTATTTTCTGTTTAATTCACCAAATCTTATCAATAAAATGTCTTTAAAGTTTTTTTTTTGTTTTTATAGTTCACGAAACCAGCAAATCGTATACACTAAACCCTTATCAATTGATATCCATTATTTGATAGCAAGCTATGGGTTCACTTTACTATGTTTATGTTCTTCATAATTTAGTATCAACTAAATTCGATTGGTTAAAAGACCTATACAATGGTGCGACCATTACCGCCCGGTTTGCAAAAAGTTGCAATTGAAGAACTTCACGAAGATCCTGCTCGAGTACAGGATGATATAGATGCTCTAAAGACATGGATTCAGCAACAACCCCATTTGAGGGCACGTACCGATGATCAATTTTTAGTGGCTTTCTTGCGTGGCTGTAAATACAGTTTGGAAAAGGCCAAATCAAAAATCGACAAATATTATATGTTACGTTCCAAATTTCCGGAATTGTTTTCATTGCGGGATGTCGATGAACCAAAGATACAAGAAATCATTAAATTGGGGTGAGATGCTTTCAAAATCTAAATTTTGAAATTTATTTATATTATTTTCTTACAGAATTGGCATTGCCTTACCCACACCCCTTAATGAAGATGGTCCCCGCATAATGCTTGTACGCAATGGCTGTTATGATCCGGAAAAATACAACTTTGCCGATATAATGCGTGTCTTCCAGGCCTGGAATGAAATCCTTATGTGGGAAGATGATTATGCCATTGTTAATGGTTTTGTACACATTGCCGATTTGAAAGACTGGAATAAACAACATTTTTTCCAAATGACACCAAGTTTAATGAAAAAAATGACAGTCTATTCGGAAGAAGCAATACCTTTGCGACCAAAATCCTCGAATTTTATTAATGTACCCTCGATATTTGAATCGCTATTTAATGTGGCTAAACCTATGTTGTCGGAAAAGCAGCTTAAGAGGGTGTGTACCAGAAATTGAGATATTTAAATTTTATTATCTATATTTGTATTGCCTTTTTTGGTATAACTTTTCAGATGGTCGTCTATGGTTCAAATTTGGATAAATTTTATGAAAAAATACCTCAGAAATATTTGCCCAAAGAATATGGCGGTGAAAATGGTTCAATTCCCGAAATTATTGCCGAATGGGAACAGAAATTCCAGGCATACAAGGAATATTTTAAAGAGGATGCCAAATATGGTACCGATGAACACCTGAGACCGGGTAAACCAATTGATTTTGATAATCTATTTGGCATGGAGGGTTCATTCCGCAAACTTAATGTGGATTAAAAATTATAATTAAAAATTAACAGTAATATGAAGTTGGAAAATAAAATATAATTAAAATCTGGTTAGTATCCATAAAAGATATATTATGATTTGTGAACCGGAATACAGGTAAAAAGTTAGAATAAATATCAGTGCAATTCCAAAGTATTGTTATAAGACCTACTAAGACAATTTTTAATCGATTCCGAATAAAAACATGACGAGAAATTACTTCAATACATACTTCACACGACCTTTTCAATAAAAAGGGTGAGGATAAAACTTAACTCAAATTTTAAGAGGATAATACCAGTATTCTATTTGGATCTACAGTAGGGTCAATATCAGATATCTTGTGATGTGTGAACCGGAATACGGGTAAATCATGATAAAAATATCAGCGCAATATTTAAGAGTATTGTTATCAGACATACTAAGACTATTTTGAATCGATTTCGAATAAAAAACATAACGAGAAATTACTTCAATAAATGCAAATCTCGAAGTAAATACACCCGACCATATCAATATCAGCGCTATATTTAAGAGGATACCGCCAGTATTGTTATCAGACATACTAAGACTATTTTGAATCGATTCCGAATAAAAAACATAACGAGAAATTACTTCAATAAATGCAAATCTTTAAATAAATTCACGAAGATTACAACCTACAGATCTAGCAATCGATTGCTCAATCAAACCACACATCTGTCACATTTTTCGGAATTTTGAGGCGTTCTTTGGCGAAAGAGCCAATAAATTTTGGCACAACGAACCTAGGTATTTGGCCGACTCTGTCAACCAAAGGAACAAACTCACTGTTGAACCTGGGCAAAGCTGACATTCGAGTAATGGCAGGAGTCATTACTTGCAATATCAGGGCCTTTACCAGTAAATGGGACCATGATGTTACTGATTACTGCAGACTCTGTGCTGACGAGGATACAGTTCTGGCCGTCTGTGGGCCAGAACTGTGTCGCTGTCCAGTTCTGGCCTACAGACGACACAAACTAGTGGGTGCTCACTTTCCACCGTTTCTAACCTTCTTTTCAACTATGGAACCTGCTTTAATCTACAGCATAATTAAAAACCTAAAGTGGTTGGAAAAGTGCAACCTTAGCACGTAATATGTTTTCTGTCCAATTTCTATAGCCATCGAAACTATACCCACCTTTCTCCTAATACTTCTTGTTAACTTATTATTCTTTCTTTCCCCCCTTTTCTGCCCTACAGATCTCTCCATATCTTTCATGGATGATCACAATGGACGGTCTCACAGTGCCGCAGAAACATTAGTGACTGCATATGCCCAGTCAATACGAATATTGAAAATAAAAATTAACTCAATGTTAAGATAACATCACCAGTATTCTAATCGGATCTAAAAAAGGACTTTTTGACTCTAACCCGAATAAACCGATAACGAGAAATTAATTCAATAAATGAAAATCTGTCACATGTCCTTTTGTATATATTTCAGAATATGTTTCCGGATTCATTGTTTGAAAATTTACATCCAGATGATCCAACTGAATATTGTCTTCGAACAGCGGTTTTAAAGTATAGATAATTTAAATATATTTAGATTGCTTCTAGACCAGAGCACTCGCTCCTGAAAAAATACCCCATAAAGTACTGAATACTAACCTCTATATAATTAATTTTTTTTTTTCAAATCAGTGATACACTGATATCAAAGGTCGGGTCCCCAAAAATTGGGTAAAACACAAAAAAATTGCATGTGTTTATTTTCTAACAACCTTGCAGTATAGTATTTATGTGGCGACCTTTGATAAACTAATCTAATCTGTTCGACAATTTTTGTATTTAACAACAATTTAGAACAATACAAAATGTTTATATACCAAACCATAATATTGTCAGTACTTGTCGTATAGGATAGTCAATTTGCAGTTCGATTAGTTATAACCATGACATTGAATTTGCGACCACTTTCATCAGCCTTGCAACAAAAGGCAATCGAAGAATTAAATGAAAATCCCAATAGAATTGCTGAAGATCTGCAAATGTTTAGAGAATGGATATTGAAACAACCTCATATCCGATCACGTATGGATGATCAATTTTTAATTGCATTCTTACGCGGTTCGAAATATAGTTTGGAAAAGACTAAAAAAAAATTGGATGGTTACTATACAATACGTACTAATTTTCCGGAACTTTTTGAATCCCTAGTTGATGAACAGAGAGCAAGAGCTATATTGAGAATGTGGTAGGTAGAACAACTCAAAAAATACGAACTCCACTTTTGTTTATATTAAGATATTTAACCCTTTATGGCCCAATGTTGCCCACAGCCAACAAAATGTTCTAGAGCTTATATTTAATACGAGGCAAGTAAATATATATTTTTTGGATTATATATATTAAGAGCTGACTATGGGTGACACATATCAAAAGAAAAATCTAAAAAAATTAAACGCTTTTCAATACATAGATGAGTGCAAAAATATGTACAGTACCAAATTGTGTATACAGTCCAAAATATTTAAATCGCTTCTTATTCAAAATATACGAATCGTAGCCTCTAGTTGTTGTTGAGTCTTGTAAAAAAGAACCTACAGAATAATTAAAAGTGATTTTTTGGTCGATATTGCTTTTGTTTTTGTTGTTATTGGATTTTTATTTATCGGAAAGAAGGTACTGTATCTCCCGAATGCAAGGATGTAGCGACGTAAAAATTGGCTTTAAACCACTTTCAAAATAAACGACTCCTCTTTATTAAACCCCTCAATGATTATATGCACTCTAAATTATTTCCAGTCTTGGTGCCCATTTACCTATACCCTTGGGTGAGGGTGGACCACGTCTGGTTCTAATGCGTCCTGGACATTACAATCCCGATTTAGCATCGCTATATGAACTTATGAAATTAGATTTGCTATTCAAAGATTTAATCATGCTGGAAGATGATCATGTTATCGTTGGAGGTTATGTCCATTTAATAGACTTTGCTGGATTTTCCACCAAACATGCTCTACAATTTCAACCGGCTAAAATGAAACATCTTATTTATTATACCGAAGAGGCATTGCCGATTCGAACACGCGCTCAACATTTATTCAATACTGGCACGGCTTTTGAAACCATTTTTGGAGTTATGAAACCTTTATTGCCCGGGAAAGTTAAGGAGAGGGTAGGTAAGGAATAATATTTTATAGAATCCTCAATAAATATATTTAAATATGTTTTTTAGATAATGGTCCACACCAGCATGGAATCGGTTTACGAACAAATCCCTCTAAAATATTTCCCCAAAGAGTATGGCGGTGAAAATGGCAGCATTGAAGAGATAGCCGCAATTGGTGAAGATATGCTAATGAGATATCGTGAATATTTGGCCGAACAAAAAGAATATGGCACCGACGAAAAACTAAGGCCAGGAAATCCTATTAATTTTGATGCCATTTTTGGTGTTGAGGGGTCTTTTCGTAAATTGGAAGTTGATTAGAAGCGAAGAATTTATATTTATGACATTCGATACTAATACTCAAACTTTATGAAAAAAATCTTGCAGAACATAGCCAAATATATCAAGCGGAAGAAAAAAATGTGAAACCAGAATACATAAGAGGGCAGTTCTTAGCTTAGCACCAAAAGCGCGGAAAAAACAGAAAAAAAGTTAAGTGTTTTGGAAACTTCCATCTCTCTTATGAACACATGTTAAATTTTGTTTCGATCTGGCAACTCCTGCATATAGAAACAGGTGTTCAAAAAAGACGCATCCGCAATTTTTTACAATGAAGGCACGCATTTCAATCTTTATAAAAATAAAAAATTAATCACGGTTTGAAAATCTGTAAGGAATTCTAAATTAACATTCCATAATTTGGGTATGACCTTGCCTATGTCTTTATATGACAACTTTATTAAGGTCCCGCAGAATTTTAAGTATTCTTACAGTGTTTTCAATGTCTTATCCTCATTCAAATAGTGAGAAATTACTTCAATGTATTTTAAGCAACTTGGGAGATTTTAATATTTTCCAAACTAAAAATTAACTTCTTCTTGGTTTGTCGATCTTTAGGAATTCTAAATTAACATTCCTTATTTTGGGTATGATCTTGCCTTTTTTCAATAGTCTTTAAATAGCCATTCTATAAAGATCCCGCACGAGTTTACGTATTTTTATGATACTAGGCTCTTTTTTCAAGTGGCTCTAATTTGGCATTCCAGATTCCTGTTGTTGGGTAAAAATTCCTTTCTTGAAAATACTTAGTATATGTCCAAGTTTTGACATAACCCCCATATAAAGGTGCCGCCTCATTTTAGGTACTTTGATGGCCCTCATTTATCCCCTACGGATGGAAGATCTTCCATGAGTCTTTAACATGCCCTCTCTAGGGTCTCTAAAGAAATTTTCCTGCAACTGTTCATCTTTATATAGAAGGCCTTTTCCATAAAGACATTTACCTGTAACTGTTCTCCTAAAAATAGGCTTTATGGAAGAAATTCTTCAGATTCTCTGTAATTAACAATTTTTCTTTACATAGACATAGTCTTCGCTCGAAAATTAGAAAAAAAGGCGAATATATCATTTTTTTGAAAATTGCATATTTCCGATTTATCCTAGTCCCTACGATAGCTATATAGGTCTAGAATAAAGTGTAAAGTTTTGAAAAACGATTGGATTAACCTCTTTGGTTATGATTTTAACCCATAAACTTGTCGTTCTGAAGTCTATGCAAAATTCCATGTCAATCGAGCATACCATTTCTATGTATACCGATTTGAAGCAATTTTACAATTTACAGTAAAGCATACACTCAAAAATTTTATCTGAATCAAACAAACGTTAGATACGTTAGATAGATCAGACGAAAATATGTAGGAGCTTTATCTAAATCTTAACCATTTTTTTTTTTTCAAATTCCAGTGTTCATCCTTGGGCCACATATGTGGGCTGTACCACTTTTCACCTCATTTGGGATCATAAATGCGAACTGTACTTTGTTAACAATCGTATGTCCGACTCAGAAAGTGATTCTATGCATATT